AATCTATGAGTAGCTTACAAGCTGGGTACAACATTCAGTTCAGCCTGGGGCTGTCCATAAACCACGTAGACCAATTTTTAGACATTGCAGATCCTACCTTTCCCGTTCATATACTTTTCTAAAATTTTAAAATATTTTTACTGGAGTCGGTGTATAATGAGTCACGCCAAGAGTGAAGCCAAGTCTATTGAACTGTCAAACCGGCTACCTATTGTGCAAAGTAAACAAACATTACGATGCTATGAAAGGTCCACGAAAGGTATTGCAATAAAATATAAAATAAAATTGAAGAAATGATCATAAACACGCAGTGAGCATTAAATTGTCATGGGATACGTTTGCTAATGATCAGTAATGAGAATTTCTACTATTGTTTGATAAGATAATTTGACAAAATCACTGATATAATGATTCACTACAGCCGCAATTTTTTGTTCTAGCTAGAAGTCATTTGAAGTTGATGTAGAAGTCCTCTGTTGCCAAGTGAAAAGAAAGGGAATCCTTCGAAAACCGTGATGCGAGTTCAACTGTTTTTCTCTTGGCGTGACTCATTATACACCGACTCTAATTTTTACCGATCTGTGCGTTGGTGGTGGTGACTGAAAGATGTCGATACTAAGTTCCTATGTTTTGAGATACTATGTTTTCAAGAAAAACTTTTTCAAAGAGTTACGTCTGTTTGTCTGTGACTACACCACCGGCGCCGCTTGCTGGTGGTGTTTGTATTTCTTCGCAATGTTCATCTATTTACCTGAAACAGCTGTTTTTAGTGATGTCATAGACCTGTGCACGGGCGAACTTTAGTTCATCTACTGAAATTTTTTTGACACAACAGCAGGGCCCTGTTTACTAAAAATGAACACATGAATAATGCTCGTGTTACATTTGAAAAGGGCCTATCAACTTTTGTAAATAATTTGCTAGGTCTTTTTGACGATAACCGAAGTACGCCCACGCAAACCAAGAGCACTATCGGGAAGGGAAGAATTTCCTCTGCCCGATGGTGTTAGTTTGCGTGAGCGTATTCGGTTCGCGCGAAACAGGCTTAACAAGTTTTGTGTACATAAGTTGATAGACCCGTTTCAAAAGCTACGTGAGTATTATTCATGTGTTCATTTTTAGTAAACAGGGTTCCGCTGTTGTGTCACTTTTTGTCGAGTGAGTTGCCTCATAAGTTGCCTCACTAAAAGCACAGTAAACAATATTCCATCATACGACAGACAAAATGTTAGTAAAATTACAGCTATTCAACGCGATCATCAAATTGTTTGCATTAAATTACATTCAATTAACGTAATTTTCGTAATGAATCCAATGCAATTTAACCAGGAAATATTACATCTGTAAATAGGCAATATTAGTTGTTAATAAATCCTTTGATAAACCCCCTGCAGAGCTAGTCGAAAAAAGAATGGCCACATTAACTTGACAATTTACAATTCGTCTTTTCGGCCACTCTGTAACTCTTTAGTCCTATGGTAAAATCCCATCAGCGCACGTCAGTCTGTGCGTGAAACAGTGTTGGCAAAATCAGAAATCAATTGATATTTTTCCGCTCTCATGCGCTCGCAATATCACGCGTGATATTGGAACAAAATATCATGCTTGATATTGATTTTACCAGCTCCTTTGATACTGCGAGCAGTGGTGCAAAATATCATGACACTCACGTGACACTCGTCTTCGCATCAACCGACTATCGCTAACAGATCGTTTTGTCACGCAGTGAGAGTTAGAGCCATGGCAAACAACAATCACCAGTAATGGTCGCTGCTCACAAGCAAAACGTTACACTCGCTGCTGATGATGAAAAGCACAACGAAAACAGTGAAGACTTCTGCAGTACGATCATGAGAAAAAGCGAAACGACAGAAGAAAATGAAAACAATGCCTACGCATTCCAAGTTCGTCTCGGCAGGCGCGACTGTGTGAGTTACAAACAAAGCAGGCAACATGAAACGGAAGCTGTTGGGTTCACTCACCAACACACTCACATAAGCAAGCAAAGCAGCAACTGCTTCAAAACGAGCACAGATGAGTGTCGTGATTGTCGGGAATGACCAGATCGGTGATGGATCACAACAGAAGACGACATTCATCAGTTGCTTTTTACTTCTTTCGTCAACTTGATGGATGGTCATGTAGAGAGCTTCGACGAGCGCATTGATAGGAATGTACAAAGCGTTATTACCATCAGCTGTTTGGCGATCGTAATTGTGATAGGTCGCAACTCTGATTGCGAGACTATTCACAACGTGCAAACATCATGCTGAGAGCTGACTCGACACAAAAATGATTCTATTGCGCATCGTTTTCTTAGAAAGAGAAAGCATAGTTTGCTATCTCTTTTTAATCTTCACCGATGGCAGACGCAAAGGGACTGCTCCAAACCGTTATGGAAGTTTAGGTTGCATTCGGGTGTAAAGCAAAAATCATTAAACTCAATCTCACCAAAGTTTGGTGAGACTTGCAATTGGTGAGTTTTGTTAGTTTGATATTCCAAGCTGCTATATCACAGCTTGCAAAATCAACAGCAGTAGTTTGCTTGTTGATTTTTGTCTACGAAAATCAAGCGTGATCTTGGGCATTGGTGAGATTTGATTTTTTGATATTTTCCTAACACTGGCGTGAAACATGATGGACATTTCCTTACCCTTTCACTCCTATGAAAATCCCTTAAGGTACTGTCAATCTTTGCGTGAAGAGATGGTGGTCGCTAGTACCATGGTGGAGTGAAGTCCGCTAGATTTCATGCACAGATTTACAGATGCGTATGGCACTTTTCCATAGCAGTAAAGAGTTGCAGAGTCGCCGTCAACGTCAATGCCTACTGAGCATGCAACCTTATATCTGCTTTTCTTTCATAAGAGCAAACAATTACTTTTTCTCGAGAATGAAAAACTACTCAAGTAAACCACACGATGATTGTGTAGAGGGAGAGTCTCCCTATCCGATAGAATTGGTGGCTTACATAGATTAATTTTGAACTACATTATGGAAATTTTAAGCTAACAGATCGATGGCCAATAGACTGATGCAAAATTTGAAATTTTCGCTACACAGTGTTCAAACGGTTTCAAATCGGGTCCTGATTAGCCTCCGAAAGTTTAAACTCATTTGATAATAAACTGACTTGGCACAAACCATTTGAAGTTTATATGGAAATTACTATGAGAAAACAAAACTTTTTGTTCATTGTCTTCTAGCCTTTTTACATATTATACTGTTATCAAAATCCATTGCTATTCTTATGGGAATTTTTATCAGCTACAACTTTGCAGAAAATCGTTTTTCAGCCAAACGTCAAATTAAATAGTTATTAATTGTTTAAGAGATTGATAATCTTATGGCAAGATTAAGCAACTGTATTGTGACCAACACTGTATTCTGCAGTGTGACATAGTAGCCATGATATTTGTGCTCTATTCTTCGCACCAGAAACACCAATGTTGCCTGCTAAAAAGTTGATTGAGCATTATCATAAGACATCAGTGACTTGAACCATTAATATGTTTTGTTCTTTACATTTGATCGAAAAGTCGTCTTCAACAAAGTTGTAGCTGGGAACATTTTCAGTAAGCTTAGCTATCATTTTCTAAAGTAGAGTGAACTGGTGAATTTTGGGATAGATATGAACCGAAATTATGGTTTCTTCATAGTAATTCCCATATAAACTTCAAATGGTTTGTGCCAAGTCAGTTTCTCACTAAATGAGTTCAAATTTTGGGAGGCTAATCAGAGCCCAATTTGGAACCGTTTGAGCACTGTGGAGCGGAAATTTCAAATTTTGCATCAGTCTAATGGCTAACTATACTGCCGCTCACGGCAAGTCCGTCCCATAGCACAAACGTACCACGCTACGCCCCAGGCATTTTTTTTTTTTTTTTTTGATATATTAGCTAATATGCAGCTAAAATTGTTATCGTAGCTCCCGTTAGTTTGAATAGCAGTTATTACCCGTACACTTATTCGTAACGTCATTGGGTTCCTCTGTAGGGGTACCAGTTAAACAAATTCTAGATGGGCGCCGTTTAATTGCGACCTTCGTTATTCAAACAAAGGGTTCTACGGTAGTTGGGTATCGATGTAGAAAAATATTCTTACTCTAACATAACATTTTTTGAATTTCAATGACTCATAGATTAGTAAGCAAGAATTAGAAAAAAATTACAATTCTCATGATCAGGTTTAATAATGCAAATTTTAAAATCAAAGGTGCTCTTCTTTTAAAGTTCTTTTGTGCCACAGATCATGACGTTCTTAAAGATTGCTACCAAAATTTCCAGTATTTTCAGTTTTGTATTTGAATCAACGTTTAACAGGCTTTTGTATGCAATACATCCAACTTTTCATAAAATATCTCAGAACATAACACGACTTATAATGTAAACTTATATGATAGGGGAAATGGATGTAATGTCGGCCTAAATGCCCCTAATTTGGGCCCATACATAAATTCAACAATCGAATAAATTTTCAATAACGTCCAAAAATATCCATTAGTACCGTCCCAATGACGCATATTCATCTAGATAAAATTGATAAATAACAGATTTTTTGCGATGGGCCCAATCTTAGATCCATAGGCCAACATAAGAGACATTTCCACTATGTGACGCTCCATTAATGTTACATCATTTCGAATAGAAATGTACACTAGTTTTTCGAACAGTGCTAAAAACTAGAGATTCGACATGGGTTAAAAATCAGGCGTAGCATCAATTGCATTTTTGTCTATAATAATAAAAATAACGAAAAATTACAAGTCATGCGTTTAAACATTGACGCTTATTAGATTGCGGATACAATATAGGTATATAGCGATTTGGCCTAACGCCAGAGCTAAAATAGCCAATGCAAACCACGCAGAGGGCAAAATACTGCTCTCCAACGTTTCATCCGGAACAACGCTCCAACAAATTCCAATTGACCTTACCTACACGGAGCACTACACAAACGCACAAAACAATTCATTTCAACTACCACTAAGTCCTACTTACACTTTTTGCCATTCCTCTTCCAATCGATCTTTAATGATGCCAAAGACGGTTGCTCACTTCAGCGCCAACTTTTTTTTGTTTTCCTCTCCTTCAGCAACTTGATAGTGTTCTCAAAAACAGCAAATTTTAATTCAATCTTCTAAATCTAAATACAATAAACAAACACCACACAGACACAAACTCGTACGACAAATTTTGATAGATTGCATGTTTGACAGGTCACGGGTTACTGTGCTGTTGTCGCAGAACTAGACAATGCGTGGTGAGGTGGGTCACCTTTAAAAAAGGTTGAGGGTGAGAGCTTCATGTATTCAATCGAGCGGAGATTGAGCAGAGCAAGAAAATGGTGTCAATGTTTGAACAATCAGACCTCACCGCTTTTTGCAATCTTTAGAAACTTGCACATTCATAACACCGTCATGGTACGGAGAAAAACGGTCAAGTGGTACTTGTTTCTAGAACTTTCTTCAAGTAGCCAGAACATTAGGTAAACCAACAAACACCTTAAAAGCATAGAGACTTCCATCCAACCGGGCAGAATCGAAGATATAAATGACGTCAACGTTGCTCACTTACCAACTGGGTACTTCATCGAGAGCGCGTTGCAAACAAGCAGCAATTTATTCAGTGGTATAGGAAAGGAACCCTAAACAGAGTAGGTACTCAGCTCAGAAAATAAATTTAAATTCTCTAGTGTTGAAATGAGCAGCGAGAATGGTTTTGAAGGACTTGAAAGACAATGAAATACCCCACGATGATTGTCGTCATAAACTGACTAAAATTGATTGTAGTGGCAAGTTGCTGAGACGCAATAACCTCCAAATCAATTGCAAACAGATCCGTGCCAGGAAATTCAACGAAATTGCATTATGTTCTTATGGGCGATTTCCTGCAATTAGTCGATTATGAACGTGAAATTTATTATCCTACTGCGATAAAATCTACACACTTAGTTTTTTCAACCGAGGCAACAAAAGTTTCACTGAGATCTCAGCAAAAGTGACGTTTGATTGCTGAGTCTCGGATAATATTTAGCTGAATCTCAGCAAACAAATGAAATGTTTGCTGAGATCACAGTAAAACCTATTTTGCCGAGATTTGCACAACCTATTACAGCTATAATAGCTCGGTAGAAAAAACTAAGTGTGTACATTTTGGTACAAATATGGTGTTGAAACCATAACCTAATTTGATATTTATTGCTACAGGGAAAAGCTTGCACTGCTTGCCACTGTGAAAAATGTTATTGAAAGCAATCTGGGTGAAAACTAAAGAGCTTTCCACACAAGATTGAAAATAGTGGGCATGAGCGAAGAGTACCAATTTCTCTGATGTCTTCATTGACTAAAGGGTTATACGGTCAAAATTTGGTCAATATCAACTTGACGTATTTCTTTCAATTTTGCATTTAAAAAACCTGAACACCCCTCATTTTGAAGGTGTGTGTGTGTAGAATGTTGCTCCTATTTTGATTTTGGAATTCACTCTTCAGTTGTCAAAATGCCGTCCAAGCAAGAAGAGCAGCGTATCAAAATTTTGCTCGCGCATCGTGAAAATCCGAGCTACTCGCACGCAAAGTTGGCAAAATCGCTAAAAGTTGCCAAATCAACCGTTACAAATGTAATTAAAGTGTTTGGGGAACGTTTGTCGACAGCCAGGAAGTCTGGATCGGGGGGAAATCGAAAACCAGAAGCCGCTGAGACGACAAAGAGAGTTGCCGGTAGTTTCAAGCGAAACCCTAACCTCTCTCTCCGAGATGCCGCAAATAAGCTGGGTGTATCGTCTACAACCGTGCATCGAGCCAAAAAACGAGCCGGACTATCGACTTACAAGAAGGTAGTGACTCCAAATCGCGATGATAAACAAAATACGACGGCCAAAGCGCGATCCCGGAGGCTGTACACGACGATGCTGACGAAGTTTGACTGCGTGGTAATGGACGACGAAACCTACGTCAAAGCCGACTACAAGCAGCTTCCGGGACAGGAGTTTTATACGGCAAAAGGAAGGGGAAAGGTAGCAAATGTTTTCAAGCACATGAAACTGTCAAAGTTCGCAAAGAAATATCTGGTTTGGCAAGCCATCTGTACCTGTGGCTTGAAAAGCAGCATTTTCATAGCTTCCGGGACTGTCAACCAATAAATTTACGTGAAAGAGTGTTTGAATAAACGTCTGCTGCCTTTCCTGAAGAAACACGGTTGTTCCGTACTGTTTTGGCCGGATTTGGCATCTTGCCATTACGGTAAAAAGGCCATGGAGTGGTACGCCGCCAACAACGTGCAGGTGGTTCCCAAGGACAAGAACCCTCCCAACACGCCAGAGCTCCGCCCAATTGAGAAATACTGGGCTATTGTCAAGCGGAACCTAAAGAAGACCAAAAAAACTGCTAAGGGCGAGCAGCAGTTCAAGGCAAACTGGCTTTCTGCGGCGAAGAAGGTGGACAAGGTGGCTGTACAAAATCTGATGGCAGGGGTCAAGCGTAAGGCCCGGCAATTCGGATTTGGAAAAGCGGAAGCCTAACTGAATATTTTTCCTGAATTTTATACTAATTGAACTTGAAAAAGAAATTTAATTTGATTTTTTAAATAAACGATTTCACCGATTTACACGCGTTTTCCCTTGACCAAATTTTGACCGTATCACCCTTTAAAAAGTCAAAATAAAGACATCGCAATAAAATATGTAAAAGTTGTCAATATGTTTGAAAATCCACGCTTCACTTACACCAAGTTTAGTGTTGTGATTGATGTCGATGTAGACACGTATAAATGTTTGCTATGTGCGAAAAAAAAGTAAATGTAGGGTTCGATCGGTGCTCGATAGTTCCCGCGATTAAGGTGTTGAGATGCCCGCGATTAAGGTGTTGAATTTGGACACAAGAGCATGGATTGCAAAAATTGTGAGAGATGCTCTAGGTGCAGCCAACAATACAAAACGTTGGAGTGTACGTCAACGGTATTGAAAATGACGAAAGAACGTAAAATGAACTTGGACGTCAACTATGGCGCATTTAGTTCTAACTGTTTAGTTTATAAAAGACTTTTTGATCAGAAGAAAAGTAGCTTGCGTTTCAATAAATAGCATTTGAAGCATTATATTAATATAGTAGTTCAGGAAATAATGTTGCTACTTGTTTATCACATTCTAGACACACTGGCGGTGTTGCTATTTATGTCAAAGAATCAGTTCAATTCAACCTTTGTACGAACGAAGTTATTGATGGTAACTGGTTATTGGGCATTATAGTTGGGCGTGGTATGAAGATGGGTAATTATGGTCTTTTTTATCATTCTCTCAGTTCTAGTAACCAGCGTTTTGTGGAAGTTTTAGAGAACTGACTCGAGACATTCCTTGATTCTAGTAAATTAATTATATCAGCTGGTGATTTTAATATTAATTTGCGTGACAACCATAATTCGAATCATTTGAAGCGTTTAGCTGATTTTTTCAATTTAAAACAAACGGTAGATGAATTTCCAGGCACAGTAGAACTGTAATTGACCACGTTTATTCCAATTTTGATATTTGTTTAGTTACGGATACTGATTTGAAAATAACCGATTATGAGACCTTACCTTACTGATTTATGTATTACATAATATCAATAACAACGATGAATTAGTAAAATTGAAGTGCTGGAGGAAATATTCGAAACAGGCTGCTTCGAATCTACAGCTGTTCTTAATAACGCTTTGAAAACGTGTACCAATCAACTAGTTGAGCCAAAGTTTGTTTCCTTGAAAAACTCGAACAGCTGGTACAATTTGGATCTTTTGCGTCTTAAGGGGTTACGCCACCCTAGGATTTTCAAAAAATCGATTTTTTTTACATAAGAAGGTACTCTGAAGTGTCAAGAATAAGGGACAATTGGTTCCATGTCGAACAAATTAAAATTCCGAAAGTTATAAGCGAAATTACAAAACTTTGCCTCACGCACCTGAACGGTTCGGGCCGCCAGGGCCGCGTTTTTTTCGATACAACATTTCTCTCCGCGGCCCACACGATAGCATCTGTAATTTTGACTCAATTTGATCTAGACTTTGACGATTGCATTCTCTGATTAATTATCTAGAGAAGTACATACGAACTTTTCAATTGATCAAAAAATGCAATTGTGGTAAACAATTTAAGAAACAAATTTCAGGCAAAAAACTGATTTTTTGCAAAAACAAGTCCCATTTGCGTAAAATTCAAAAAATTTTCATCTCCGTATGTACTTCTCTAGATATTCTTATATAAAATAAGAAAAACCACTCGTTTTTGTTCTAGGTTCATATTTACGACGAAGAAAGTGTGGGCCGCGTAACACTACATGGGAAGCAGTGCCAGGAACTCGCAGTGCTGCCAACTGCCACACATGGTTTCCCCTTATGAAAAAATACTGTAAGCACCCCTAATTATGTGAACTATAAGCCCATATAAGTTAATTTAGTATGTGACTTTATTAAATAACAAAAAAAAATTAATGAAGTTGGTGCATTTTTCTGTATTCTAGGGTGGCGTAACCCCTTAAATGGAAAACGGACAAATGGTACAACAAGTTTTGTAGATCAAACAATGACAATGACATATTTTAAAAATTTCTGTATTTAAGCCAGAAATTGTGATTTTTTTTTTAAGTATGCTATTCGATTATCTATAGCTTGAAACGGATAATGTGATTGAAATCAATTCGATAGGTTGAATCACTGTCGAGAAATCGTTCAAAACGTACCGTGCAAATCGCGAAAAACCGTGTAAAAAAGTAGAAGGGTCTGTGCCTAGAGGCACGAACGGAAGCTTGACGTAGGACCGCTAGTGGACGGAGCAAATGTGAAGAGCATTTAGTTCTTTTAATTGATCAATTACCTATTATCTCAACTTTTTTCGTTTTTGAATTGTAGGCGTACCAAATATGTAGTAATCTTTTTCAAGTGAAAAGTGATTAAGAGAATCAATCAAAATCACTTGCACCCCTTCTTCCAAGTTTGGTTACAAGATTACAACTCTGGAGAGCATTTTGTGTAGTCGTTGGGGGCTTGTGGTTCTGAATATGGACACACAAGCACAGATAAATTCTATTCCTACTCTTTACTGTAAT